CTGTCAACATGAGGTTGATCATTAATACACATTACATCATGCTATATGTGATTCTTGGTATCGGCTACCTAACAAGAAACCTTTTTCAGTTTCTGAGCAACATCCAGATATCTCAGATACCAAAAGCCTGGGATAAGTATTTTTCCCCCACGACTTGAAGGTTAAGAAAATCATCATTTTTCACCCCAACATGGTGGATTGAAAAATTGTGCCATTCAATGCTGATGTTTGTACAATCATGGGCTTAACTTTGCCCGCCAGAAATGCGTAGGTCGTGCTTTCAAAAGGCCTAAGGCACCTCATCACTAGGGAGGTTTATCAAGGCTGTCAATATGCTGGCGATCATACAGCTGTTCAACAAACTACTGTGTTTTGCCTCCTCATACCATCATACTCTCTTACCGTCATACTAAACATTAAACCGCTTTCAGGCACAGATGCATACCAAAAGGTTTTGATCATTTTGGGTTGTACTGGAGATGTAAGTCAGGAAACCCATGATTTGGTGCCCTTCAGGCTAACTATCCGACTGGGACACGCTTTCCATCTTGTAAACTAAACAGAAAGGAGAGTTCTTGGTAACAGTGACCATATTGAGTAGATTGTAGAGTAGCCCATCAGTGGCCCAATGAGAGATGTGCTGTGAGGTGTTCACCCAGAGTGGAGAGATGCACGCACAGTGCTGCTTCTGGTCCGACGACGGAGCTTCTCCGTTCGAAGCACCTGAAAACCATTGAGGAACGAGAGAACGGGACAGCAGGAATGGCACATGACATTTTCAGGAACATGGAACTGACACCGCATTTTTTGAGCCGGCCCATTCAGTTTGCATGTTCCACATAGTGACTTAGTGTTTCTTTAGTGTTCCAGTTGAAGTCGGTCACGCTCAAGAGCCTGCAACAAGATTTAAAGAAGCCACTCCTAAGCTGCAACCCAGCCAACCCCTTTCAACAATGTGTCAATGATCGTGTATACATTTCCAATCTGGGACGAACGGCAGCCCTTTTTCACGCGGACTTCTCTTTGATCAATCTTCGCAGGAATCTGGTCCCCTCACGAGAAGAAGATCTCGCGGGCCACTACGCTGCCTTCGGAGAGCTTTCTCGCAGATGAGGGGGGGAGCGAACCTTCCGGGCTTTCTGGCCCGAACGGCCCGCGGCGAAACGGCCCTGTTGCGCAGGTCAAAGTCACGAGTTCTTCAGTGTTACGAGTGGAAGAAACGGTGTCCTTTGCCTGGACAGGTGTCCTTCAACTGGACAGTCACTGCTCAGTCAAATGGTTCAATTTGGTTGACAAAGTGAAATCGTATTGTTTACATTGTTGTTGCATCCTGGGTATTCTTCAGTGAAGACGGCTATAAACAGGAAACAAGCTGAGATCCTTGGACCCTAATATCTTGTTGAGGGGTTCCTGGAGTGTTGCTTTCTAGGCGTTTAGAGCTGTGGCTTTGACGAAAAAAACATGTCCTCCCAAAACTCCATCATGGAACGGACATCGGATTGGAGGGTATGCGGCAACATCTGCCTGTCTGGGCACGCGGCATGTTTGCAATATGTGTTGCATTGTTTTCTTTTTTTTTTTCGTTTCGGGGGGGCAGGAATTGTTTGGCCCTGACATGTTTGCTTTGGTCTCAAAAATTAACAACACGTTTTGCCATCCCTCCCGTTTCTTACGTAGATCCCGTTAATTCATATCATCTAGGAACTTGACGTCATCGGCGTTCACATCCTTTTCTTGGCAAAGATCCTTGTGCATCAAGGTGAAGGAATCCTTGACAAAGGATACCCCTTACTTGGGTCCCTATGAAATGATCCTCCAGGAGTCTTATGAAATGATCTCCGGCAGTTCATTACATAAAAACAGAACTACGTAAAAAAGACAAAACAAAATAATGACAGTACTAACAATGTCTGAGACGAATTCAGCTATCATTATATAGAGATGAGGGGGTGGATGATGAAACATGTTGAGACTAAATTTAAGATCTTAATGAAACCTGGAGTAGATCATTTTAGAGAGATGTGTTTTGTGTGTTTTTTTTGTTGATTGAAGGATCTGTTGCTGGAGTTGTCATTTCATAAGAGTCATGGATCCAGCTTTTGAATCATTGTATAAACCTCTCATGTTGATCGCCGCGCCTTCCTGTCAACCTCAAAAAGATATATAAATAATGTTAATGTTGCCAGTAAAGATTTGCTAAAGCAATTGAAATACATATGAAGACATCAAACAAATCATAACAACGCAAGATATGATTTAATTCAAAATATCGCAGCTATATGAACATTGTTCGAATCTGCAAGTGGATTTTTCTTATTTTATGATTTTTAGACTATATTATTGAAAGCCGAAAAAGTTCTTCTAAAAAAAAACACATATTTCATCAAGTTTGAAGTGGTAGCCCAAAGATACCTGAACCATTTGGGCCCCCAGGGTTGCTGACCTAGATCCCCTGTTGAACAGGGGATATCATTTATAAAATGATATCTCCAAACAATTTCTGCATGTTTTGCAAAATTTGGGAACTACCAGATCATTTTATAAATATGTACAGTATTCAATTCAGCTGGGTTTTCTTTCCCCAGGAGCCTGAGAGGAACTGGAAACCCAATCAAAACCACACTTTTTGACTTCTACACCCCAGAGTCCTAAGAAGTAGATAGAAGTAGTAGCCCAAAGATACCTGAACCATCCTGAACCATTTGGGCCCCCAGGGTTGCTGACCTAGA